CACACATACACACACACACACATACACACAAACACACACACACACACACACACACACACACAAGAAATACAAATCACAGATTATTGGTTGGCACTATTGGTAGATCCAACAGTTTTGTTGTTTCTGTCTGTCTGTCTTGCCTTTCCATACAACAAATACGGGAGTTGTGTAGATGTGCTTTTCTTTCCTAAACAAAATTCAACAACGGCCAAAAGCGACCCCCCCTCCCAAACATAACACGTCTCAGATAGTGACCCAAAGCAAAGTATCTTTCAACCTGGACAGCTTTTTAGACTTTTCTATATGCTACCTCAGAATTACAAAGTTCTTTCTGTCTAGTTTTCAGAAATTTGACGTTAAATACTTTGAGTTTCACAATATTTCAAGCTTTTACTTTTTCGAATGCAATTCTTTAAATATTTTGATAAGAACTCAAAATTATCTTACTATTGCTTGAAACTCACGATCTTCGTAACTCAAAACGGCCAAAAACGTCACACAGATCTTTGCAGTTCTAAGGAAGTGTATAGTCAAAGAGAGAGCACAACGTTTATGATGAAAAGGAGAGGACGACAAAGAAAAGTCAGGTCTGATAACTTTACAGAATGGATTGGTGTGTGTGCAAGAGAACTACTCGACGTGACGACAGATTGAGGCAAAGAGCAGTTTCCCACGATGATGCAACTTAAGGGACGAATGTGTGAGTGATCGCAAAGATTTTGAAATTTAAAACATGACCGTACAAGTTTCATTAGTTGGTAGATATTGAGATAAGGAATCCAAGTGTCACCCCAACCCAGATAACAAAGAAAACAACGAAAGAAACTAAGTCGATGTATTTAACAATGAGCTGGTAATTGTTCCTTCGACCTTTCTTTTCACCATCATTTTTCTCGTCGTTATGATCGCTCGAAGATTCCTCTGCTTCTTCCAGACACGATAAAGGATCTACAGAGTTACGTTTGATTCTCGCGTTGCCGTTCTCGGCAGTAGCCGGTCTGAGGCCTTGGTCGCTGCCAGCCGAGGCCGGCCTTTTGGAGTTGAAGCCAAACATGTTAACGAGGGAAGGGCGATCTTGCATGGGAGCCACCAACCGTTGCATGAGGTTCACTCTGCGGAAAGCGCTGTTGAATTTCTCTCGTGCTTTGATTTGCTTCTCCTTCTCCTGTGGCGATAAGTATATATAACATGAACAAAATTTAAGTAACGAATTTAGCAAAATATGCAAAATTTGATTTGTAATATGAGAAAAAAATAACCCAGTAACTTATAATCATGCAGTGTAAGTTCTCAAACACACAGTCCTACAAAAGGTCATAAGCAAAATATAGCCTCAAATGAAATACGATTCATAGTTATGCAATATGGTAAAAAGTGATGATGTTATACATGACATTTTTTTATCGAGCTATATAGAATATTAGAATTTACAGTCACCGGAATGTAATAAAGGAAATAAAAATACTTTATAAAGTGCAATTGGACATTGTGTCTTACAACACCACGCCTTCCTGTATCAGGCTTTATCATGCTTTTCAATACCAAACTGCATCCTACCATACCATACCACACCACACCACACCACACCACACCACACCACATCACACCACACCACACCACACCACACCACACCACACCACACGGACCACATCATACATTATTATAAAACACCTTCCTACACCTAAATCACAAGTAGAAAATGATGACATACCTGCTCCCGGTGACTGAGATAGACGATGAAGATACTGTCGATAACGGTAAGGGATGAGAGGACGAGGAGGATGAAGAGGTAGATGGTGACATAAGGCAATTTGTCGGAGGAGCGGGGCAGCATGGAGCTTACGATGCTCAGAAATACAGACACGGCAAGTAGGACTGTGATACCTGAGGAGGCAAAGGTTGTTGTTGCTGTTGTTGTTGTTATTATTATTGTTGTTGTTGTTATTATTATTGTTGTTGTTGTCGTCGTTGTTGTTGTTTGTGTCGTTGATGTGGTATTTTTTTGCTTTGGTTGTAGTTGTTTTTTTGTTGCTGCTACTGATGGTACTGTTATTATTGTTGCTGTGGCCGTTGTTGTTGTTGTTGGTGTTGTTGTTGTTGTTGTTGTTGTTATTTGTGGTGGTTGTGGTGGTGTTAATTGTGATTATTGTTGTTGTGTTTATTGCTGTAATATTAGTTGTAGAAATGGTAGCAGTCGCAACATTAGTAGATCTAGTAGTAGTAGTAGTAGTAGTAGTAGTAGTAGTAGTAGTAGTAGTAGTAGTAACAACAGCAGCAGCAGCAGTAGTAGTAACAGCAGCAGCAGCAGCAGCAGTAGTGGTTGTAGTAGTACCGGTAGTAGTAATATCTTATCGTAACTGATCCCCCCCCCTCCATCCAAAAAAGCCTAATTTGAATACATAAACCAAATAAGTATTCACATACCATAAGTGATCTTTTCCCCTGAGTTCACTGGGATGATGAACACGAGGATATTGAGTAGCGACAGAAAAACTACTGGTAGAAGAATGTTCAAGAAGAAAAAGGTTGGGCGTCGTTTGAGGACGAACTCTAACTGAAACGATATAACAAAGGTAATTAGATGCATGTTAAGGAAAGAAAAATAAGTTGAATAATAAGCTATAATAAGATAAAGAAGCACACACACAAAGAAAAAAAAGCAATTAAAAAACACACGATAGAAATGATGTCTTAAAATGCTGGCAGCTACAATAATAATACTAGGATCGTTCAAAAAGTTTTGCCTCTTCTCCAATAACTTTTAAACTATTCAAGATATCTTCATGAAATTTGTACAAATTGATTTTCAATATGTATACTCTCAAACCCAAAAAACAAAATTATGCTATGGTGTCACACCTTTATGCCATTGCTGTTTACATCAAAGAAGCTAAGGTACATTGTCGCCGAGAAAATGGCGTCCAGCAAACCTATGAATGTGCGCTTAAAGCAAAGAGCTGTTATTGAGTTCCTTACTGCAGAGGGAGCTGCATCCATTGGTATTCATAGGGGAATGAAGCTTGTCTAAGGTGAAGCATGTGTAGATGTAAGTTCTGTTCGAAGATGGGCAAAGGAGTCCGCTGAAACCAGTCCAGCAGAGACAGATTTGCATGACCAAGCTCGTTGTGGTCGTCCCAACTCTGCTAGTGATGTTCAACACCAGGAGAGAGTGGGTGAGATCATCAAAGCAAACCGGCGGATCAAAGTAAGAGATGTCAGTGAAATGCTAGGGATTTCTGTAGGGAGTGCTCAGTATATTATCCATGATGTGTTGGGTTACAGGAAAATGTGTGCACAGTGGGTTCCTCACATGTCACCCGAGCTGAAATTGAAAAGAAGTCAAGTCAGTGATGAACTCCTGGCTCGTTATACTGGTGCAGGTGAAGCTTTCTTACGCCGTATAGCCACATGACACGAGACTTGGGTACACCATTAAGACCCAGAGAACAAAAGACAATCGAAAGAATACAGGCACACTGGCTCACCTAGCCCCAAGAAGTTCAACGTTGTTTCATCTGCAAAGAAAGTGTTTATGACAGTGTTTTGGGACTGCGATGGTCTGATTCATATGAACAGGATTCCACTGTCAACTCTGAAGGATACATTGAGACCCTGAGAAAACTTAAAGCACGGCTGTCACGAGTTCGCCCTCCCCCCCCCAAAAAAAATGCAATTTTGCAACACGACAACGCCCGTCCACACACGAGTCGACAAACTCAAGATGCTAAGAAAAGTCTCAGATTTCAAGAGACCTTACCGCACCCATCATAGAGTCTAGACTTTGCTCCATCTGACTTTGATCTTTTTCCTAAGTTGAAGAAGTACCTCAAAGGAAAACGTTATGCAGATGACGATGAAGTTCAAGAAGATGTGCGTCGCTGATACAGAGGAAAACCACATGGATTTTTCGCCGACAGCATGAGACAACTTATTCGACGTTGGCGGATCTGCATCGACAAAGAAGGCAACTATGTTGAAAAGTAAAGGTACTGTCATGTAAAAGACATCCTAAGCTTTCATTTGGTGTATAACTTTTGTTTGTAGAATCAGTAATAAAGAAATTATGAACTTGGATGCAAAACTTTTTGAACGTAGTAGATAACATTTGTTCGCAAATCCGCGCTCGACAGTAAGCTCTATGCGCTTCACAATCTATACTACAAGTATATAAAGTAGACCCAGCAGACCTGAGAGCATTCCGAAACAACTTCAACTTCCAGGGAAGCGTAAAGGGAAATACAGTGGCGGTGGGTAGTGAAGGGCTCTCGGGCTTGAGCCCTTACCCCCTCCCCAACCACCACCCCCAACTCTATCCCAAAGTAAATGAAAGTTTCTCCATAATGAAATAAGCAGTTGAAACCGTTATGACCGCACTCAATGAGCACAGAGTGATCAACTTGGTGACTTGCTCGCTTATCCAATCACTGTTGTCTTCGCTTACAACTATAGTAACCCAGTAGCCAATCAAATGTCTTTAGGGCTCAGCAAAGATGAGCCCTTTTCCCACCGCCCGTCCCTAATGAAAATCTTCTAGTAAAAAGGTAGAAGACTGGGGAAAAATAACACTGTACCGAGGGCTCACGCTCTCCTAGCCCTGACAATGGGGTGAAAGTTTACGACACACTTTCCCCCACTGACACAGATACATATGCGCTCTTTGGTTCTTTGTTGGATGCGTTCAACTCTCTCGACTACATGGCCTAATCCAGCTCATAGAAGTATACTGTTGAAGTGCTGTGTGTGTATGTTTGTGTTTGTGCTGCTGAGATTTAACAGTTATAAATCATGTCGAACTACTTGTAAGGCAACTTTTTCATCACACGAAAACTAATTAGAGTAAATTTGGAGGTGAATCGGCTTCGTCCAAACCATCAACAAAAATTTAACCAAGAACAAAGAGATTGAAAACAAAGGCAACTCTTCTCGTTTGAATGGTTCTCAAACTGCCGTGTCTCACCGTGAGTATAGAGAAATCATCACTGCTTAATTCGTATTGCATGCTATTTGGTGGTAAAGAACTGGAAGCAACCTAAGCCCCATCCAAATTTTGGTCAACCCACCGCCACTGGAAATATAGGCGCTAAAACACTAACGAACTGACAAGATCTTTCCGTGTCTATAGCTGGGTACCCATTCCCACCTGGGTGAAGCGAGGACAATTCGTGTAAAGTGTCTTTCCCCAAGGACACAGCGTCGGGTCCACGGCTCGAACCCCCGAACCCGCAACCTCACGATTGCAAGTCCGGTAGCCTAACCACTAGGCCAACGACGCACACAATTAGAATATACCACGTTAGAAACAAAACCACGAGAGAGTAGATGTATTCTCTTTATCAATTGATATGTGTCACGACGAGGTGGAGTCAGGCGCCCGTCAGTTTTTGGTCATATAGTTTTGAAGTATTTATCCTGCATTTAATGAAAAAAGACATCCATTAATATTGAACTGAAGTCGAAATATTTGCGATTAAAGGAGGTGGGGTTCTGTTTGTTTCAGAGGTAAAATAAGCAAGAAAATGGCCTCCAAATATTGGTGATTTCCAGAGCTTGACAGTCCTGGGAAACTAAAGATTTACATTTTTGTGCCTTTTTAAAATTAACGTTTTTCGGTAAAATCCACACAGCAATATCTTTTTAAATAGACATAAAAGGTGTTGAGGCAAAAAATAAAAGTTTGAAAAAAATTACCAAACGGGACTATAAAATGCCGTTTTCTTCAATGTTTTCTCTGTGCGACAAATAGTAGGCCATACACACGAGGAAGCGACGGCATGTGGCGTGTTTCAGGACGTCACTAGCACAGGGGTTTCTCACTTCTCTAGCCTAGTACAGGACACCGTTCTGTGTGCTGGTCTACTCTTTCGTCTGCTCTTTGTGACTGTTCCACAGATTAAGCTGACAGTGTAGAAAAGAAAGCACAATGCCTACTGCCCGAAACTTAGTTAAACTGCAGTTACTAAAAGAGGTAGATGGCAAAAAACAACAACTGTCATGGCATTCCTAACTCTACGCTGCCGATATTAATAGCTTATTGAACCCCAAACCGAAAATCTGGCCGTCCAAAAATTAAAATTTCTGTTTAAGCGGACTCCACTGTAAAGGGGCATAACTCGTCTACAGAAAGAGTTAATCACAAAGCAAAAGACACTTGGATCTTCAAAAACAGACAAACAAATCGGCTCAACGTTTCGCCACGTATTCATCATCAATCATCATCATCATCATCATCATCATCATCATCATCATCATCATCATCATCATCATCATCATCATCATCATCATCATTGTTTCATAAGTAGATGGGTAGGGAGAGTCTTGATTGATTTACAGACAAAAGTAAAAAAAAAAAAGAAAAGAACTTAGGGTTTTTAAACTCGGCTTGACGTTTCACCACGTAGGCTTCCTCAGAAGCAACTGAGAGTGAGGCTAATGTAGAGCTGTACAGTATCAGGAAGGGGTCTTACAAAGAAGGTCTTAAGGTTACGTGTAGTTACCAGGCAGGGTGGAAGTGACTGTGCGAGCCAGGCCAAGGGGCTAATCATCATCCTCTATCATTATCATCCTCCATCATCATCAAAGAACATCAACACCTAAAAACCTAAAACCATCAACAATGAGAACAAAACCGACCAAAAATGTTTAGGAGTACACTTACCTGGATACCTGGCACTGAACTAAAAGAAACTGTGATGTCCCCGGCCGTCAGGCTGGCATTTTCTAGTTCCCACTCTCCATTCTGTACGTAAAAGTTTAGTAAAGTTTCCTCCTCCTGCTTTGTGAAGATAAGCTCCGAGGACGGTAGACCCATTGACGTCATCTGTGAAGCAGCGGGAAACAATCATGGTTGGTCTGTCTTTATTTATTTATCTTTTTTGCTTGTTTGTTTGTTTGTTTGTTTGTTTGTTTTCTTCTTGGTTTGTTTGTTATTTGTTTGCTTGCTTTGTTTTGTTGAAATGAGCAACCTTTCTGTTATTTGGGATTTAAACCTAAAGGAATGGAGCTGATTGGATACATTTTCAATGATATATATTATACATG